TATAAAGCATTGGATAAAAATGAAATTATAAATAAAGCAAATTCAAAACAACATAAACAAAAGGACTCCAGAAACTTATATCTTGTAAAAGAAGGAGGTACTATAGAAGAAAAAAATTGAAATGTTTCTTTTAGTAATAATTTTGTGTGCACTTTTAAATACTTATATATAAGGTATTTTTATATTTTTCAAAATGTAACTTTACTTACTGTATAAATTATATTAGTTATATTAGCGGGAAGTCCAGCGGCTGTTGGAGTTTCAACAACAGATATGACAAAACGATTGCAAATAGAGAAATGGAAATCACAGATATTACGAAATCTAAATATGTTCGTATCAAGAGTACGACTTGTTGTTCATAATTTACCATCTACATTAGACGACATTAAACTGAGAAAAATTTTCGAACATCATAGTCCTCCTACGGCGGTCATTAGAGAGGTATTTAATAATATAAATAGTTTTAGTGAATATATTTAATAGCGAGTAACTTATGTCAGAAAGTATTTGAAATTAATTTTATAAAGGCACGTATTATGCGAGATCTCAAAAACGTGGATATTAAAGGAGTGGGGAAATCGAAGGAATATGGATTTATTTCATTTACGAAACACGAAGATGCGTTGCAAACTTTAAGATGTGTAAATAATAATCCAAATATATTTACTCCCAAAAGAGTATGTAATATGTAAATAATAATAATAATAATAATAATAATAATAATAATATAACGTTTAGGAAAATTATTCTTTTCAACATATTTTTATTTGTCTAGAGACCAATCGTTTCTTTCTCGATAGAAAATCGAGTTATGGTGAATGCCAAACAAAAAAGACTCGAAAAAAGTCGTGAAAATAATCCTCTTTGGGCAGGAAATAAAATGAAAAGAAAAGATAATGACATGACTGAAGAAGTTTTAACAAAACGGTTAAAAACTGACAACGCAGATAAGTCTAGCATAAAATCATACACTGGAATGATTGGAAAACCTGGTGAAAATAAATTACGATCGAAACATAATTTAATTACTCAAGCAATGCTGCACAATGAAACGGTAAAAAAGGAGAAAAAAATTAGAAAGTCTTCTAAAAAGTTGGGAATGAAGAAAAAGCAAAAAACTGTCGATAAAAATGAAGTTAAAGTAGGTATTTTTTTAGTTTCATAGGTTAAATAATTATTTTTTAAATTTCTTAAATCATGGAACTGTAAATTTCTTTTTTGCAGCCTAAACAGAAAACAAAACTGAATGTCGATGACGTGAATTTAGAGAATCTTGTAAATAGATATAAGAATAAATTAAAATCAATAGAACTGAAAAAATCTAAATGGTATGAATTATAAAATCAACTTATTATGTATCTTATTATGTATCTTACAATACCAATTTTCCTAAAAAAAATCTGTACATGGCATGAAAATAATAGTGTTTAATAAAAACGCCGTTAAATGTAATTCTTTATTTTAATAGTGCCCATATAATTTTTGTGCATTAAATAGAAAAATTTGTAAATTCTATATAATAAATAAAATAAAAAATTAAAATACTAATCTGTTCTAAGTAGAGTTCTGATTTAATTTGTGTGTATAAAAGAGAACAAAATAGTAAAATATTTGGAATTCCCGCTGCTCACGTGACATTAAAATTCTTCCAATAACCGACCTGTTTAAATACAGTTAACCAATAAAATTATTTCGTAAAATAGAAAGGAATTAATTTAAAAATTAGATTTTTGAATATTTGAAGGAAACGTTAAAGTTAAATGCAAAATTGTATTAATATCATGGAAAAAAATATAGTATATACGGAATTTAAAGTTTAATGACTTTTCCCTTATATATAACTATCTTTCACCATTACTAAATTTTAAAGATTTGAAATTGGCTAATACCTTTGAATAATATTTCATAGTTGGTGGGAGTTCTTGAAGAATAAAAGGGCAGGTTGCGCACTTGTCTCGATTGAAAGTGTTCTCATTCAAAAGTGGTCCGTCGTGCATGATGCATGTTTACACAATGTTGATGTAAATAGTAGTAAATGATAATTAATTTTATGTTTGAAAAAATCAGATGTTACTCGAAATAGACGATAATTTATTCATATGGTTTTCTGTGTTTATTACAGTCAATAGTGATAATGTGATTCGTTAGTGCAATTTCCAATACAAATTTTATCTATGAGGAAAGATATTATAGATATAAATAGATACAAATAGGTACAAGTTAGAATTATAAGGGCAATAATTTTTTTTATGCATTTTGAAGAATTACATTTTTATTCTGGTAAGTATTGACAAAGCCTTATTGAAGTTATATTTTTTATACAATTAGAACTTTCATCGAAGTTTTCTCTTTTACCATAATTTCTTATTTTTTAGTAATGAACTCATTGCTACGAAAAATAAAGATAACTAACATAGCAAGAGGGATTTTTAACTTTAATCCATTTCTTCACGATCTAAAGTTGAAGCATGGAAATGTGACTAAAATAATTATACTTTTTTATATTTAAAAATTTTGCTGCCTTATTTTTATATTTTTTCAAAATCATTTCTCCGAATATTTTTATGATATATTACTTAAATTACAATTGACTATGTTCTTCAGATTTATATATCTGTTGTTACTTATAATTAATTTCACTATTTTTCTTCTTTTCTAAGTATAAGAAAATGAATTGAAAATGTAATAGAAAATTTGCTAACAGAGGTTTTTATTTCTGAGAAAATTAAATTTGGAATATAGCATCTTCGTTCATTGTAAGCTCTACTGCGCGAAAATGAAACTTCCAATAAGCATGATCAAACGAAATGAAAGAGAGCACACGCGCAGCCCCTACCATTTTATATATAGAGAGAATGTTTGATCGTGCCCTATTACTTAGATTTCCTTTATTGATTAATTTGTGATTCCAAAAGATTTTATTTTATCATTGGTCAACTAGTAATTGAAGATATTTTATAAATCATTATATCTTCCATAAATTTATTTTTGTATGGTATGGCTATAACACTTATAGCGGGAAACCCTCTATTTCGAGTGTATAACAAGTTCTACGAACGAATAGAAAGTAGGAACAATTACTCTGTATGGTTTCACTTGAGAAGGTTGTGTGGTTTTCACAGTGTGATTTAAGAATGATGAAACGAATGTGAGTTATGAGTTTAACCTTTTCATGACAAAGTCTAATAGCAAGTTATTTGAGTTGGATCTATTTAAAATAGAATTCTCCAGCCCATTTTAAAGATGATACTATCAAACTTCGTTTTGAACAAATTTAGAAAAATTTGGTATGGCATGTGATTTTGATCACTTTTATATGAATATAAATTTTATAGTTCTGGTGGTTAATGCAATTGGGCAGTAAGGAATATAAATTTGTAGAAATCAAAAGATAGCAATTTCGAATTCCAAACTCAAAAACCTGTTATGTTAATAGATTTTTGCACAAGAACGTTAACAAGCCATCAAAGACCTTTAATAAAAAAAAAAATTTGGGAAGTTGACGATATTGTTTAATACAGGAATTTTATAGTAAAAGAACTAAAAATTGTTTAATGTTAGTTAACAAAAAAAAAATAAAAACTCAATTACATTTAGAAATTTGAAAATTGAAAACTCCATAAGTTTTTTTAATAAAGGGGAGTAGGAAATTTAACAGTTAATTATTCCTTTAATCATCAATAAAAAATATTGATGTTCTAGTAATTAAAATATATCTATAATTTACTTTTTAACATAAAGATTGAATAGTTTAATTATTATTACAGTAATATTTTTAAAGTGTCGATATACAAATTAAAGATCAAGGATTAAAGTTAGAAAAATATTATTGTTAAATGCGATTGGTTCATATAAAAAAATGTCTAATATCCATAATTCTTTTATGTTACAGATTGAAAATGAGCATTTTACATTGCAAATTTACTAAGTTATTAAAATACATGAACGGACGATTAAGTATTAAAATGTTAGAAACTTTAGCAACAGAAGTCAAAGAGGAAGATTGGTCACGGTATCGTCCTTATTCCGAAATCCCTGGACCAAAACCCGTTCCGTTTTTGGGTAATACATGGCGATTCATACCGTTCATAGGTATCACTGATTCATTATGATTTTTTTCCACACTGATATGCTTAGTTCATAAACTGACATGTTATGAATATATAAGTAATGTATACTAATACAGCGTGACTCCTATGTTCCAAAGTTCCAAGTGAAAGAAAGTGTAGATACAGTTGTTATTGTGTCACGTGTTATATATGCAGATGCCATGGATAATCTAAAAATACGAGATACATTCGTTTTAGGCGATTTCAAGATCCAAGCGGTAGATCAAGTATCGAAAAGATTATACAAAGAGTATGGAGATATCGTAAAACTAGAAGGTCTATTAGGTAGACCAGATATGGTTTTTATCTATGATGCAAATGAAATTGAGCGTATCTTCAGACAAGAAGAGAGAATGCCATATAGACCTTCAATGCCCTCGTTGAATTATTACAAACATGTACTGAGAAAAGAATACTTCAAAGACAACGCTGGTGTAATTGCAGTGTAAGCATTGAATGAATCAGTTTGTGAATATAGCGATTTTAAATAAATTACTATTAAACACGGAGTATTATCGAAGTGATCTTGTTCAGATACACGTTACTGTTTATATATAAATATTTATACAGGTTCTTTTATTTACATTTGTTTACAAAATAATTTCCTGTCTGATTATGACTCTTGTTTTGAGGCATCCTGTACAAGTAAGAGTGGATACTTGTATGAAAATATTAGAAAACCTTTTTCTATTTATTTAATTAATGTTTAATACTTTTCATATATCATTCTCTTCAACGTGCATTAATGATAAAAAGATATCGATCTCTATTTGAATGAAACAGTATCGATAGTGCTCCATATTCGACTAGTAAATACAAATCGATTTTATCACGAAATAGGTTCTTTTATAGTGGAGATAGTAAAGGTGGCGAATATAACTTCAGGAAATATTGGGAAAAAATATTTCTTCGATACTTCTATATTATAAATGAATATAGAATTAAACGAAGGTAATATTATTTAGTATCATGTGTTATTACGATGATTATGAATTTTTTTTAATCACTTACCATATAATTTATGCAATTCGCTTTTTCAGAATATTGTATTTTAAATAGAAGTTTATATCACTTTTAATAAAGATAATAATTTTTTATTAATATTATTAATGAAATTATATTTTCATATAAATAATATAATATTATAATTAATACAATCAATTATATTTTAATAATCGATAAATAATATAATTTTCAAGTAATAGAATACATGACACTCGATATTAAAATCATAATAAATAACGCGTCATATGTTTCATGAGTTCTAGTAATTTTATTACATTGTATTTGCAGATTGTATTGAGTTCTATAATAGCCAAATATTGAATTTACAAATCCTTTAGTGAGGTGGCTTAACCTTTCATTTAGCAAACCACCGATATAGCAAATATTTGCTATGTATACTAAGCTTGTTGCGTTGAGTGTTGAAGCTGCGTATGCTCGGGAACGCATTTCGTCATTATGCTTTCGTTTCTGTACATTCTTCAAAGTAGTGTGCTTTTTACCATTTTTATCAACTATATATTTTATTTCAAAGAGAACTTTCATTTCATATCTCAATATATTGAAAATATTTTATTTTATATTTATATTTGAAAATAATCTAATTAAAAATTTAAGTTTTACGTTCCAAAAAAAAAAGAAAAAGAAATATCACTGATATAATTATATTTTGCAAAGGTAAAACAATAATATATTTCGAAAATTGTGACATTTGATACAGAATTTCGTAGATATGAATTATGCAAAACTTCATGTACAATAAATGTAACTTTATTAGAAATGTGAATGTAAGTCTTACGATTCACACTGCAAAAGTGTTAGTAATATGATTATACCGTTGTAGACTAAAGTCTACAAGTAAAAATGAAAGTATGAATTTCATATGAAAGACTCAAAAATAAATTTACAAACTTATGTAAACAAACTTATTTTCACACTTATGTAAATTCAATTGAAGAATCTGTTGCTTATCTAACTCATATATTATACAGAAAGCAGTTTATATCAGGAAGTTAGAGTACAAGAAAGAAAAAACTGGACAAGAATTTTGTTCAAACAAGGGTGGATTTAAGTATTACGCACGCTGTATGCGCCATCATTCCATAGAAAGTAAATCTTACGCAATTAGATATCGGTGCACTCGATCAGTTATGCTATCACTTCCCATGACAATTTATGTTCCATTTTCCGATATTTGTATAACGAAAATTCACATCGCATTCGTGTTCTAGTTTTTAATTATATCTCTTACCTAGATATTCTTTCAGGCAGTGACATTTGTTCAGAATGAAAAGTATACTATATTCAATGATTTAACTTATAAATTTATTTTATTCGTACAATTTCGAGATGAATTCACACAAGATAAAATATTACGATAAAATTTTTTTTAAAGATTAACACAGAAATATGAAATTGATATTCGTAGACGTAAAATTTTGTAAAATCATTTTAACAAACAATTTCATTTCTACACTCATTTATTTAGTAAATTTGTAACAAAAATGAATGCGTTTGCTTCAATTTCTATAAAACATTGTAATTATATACATTTAGATTTTTCAAGAACAATAAGTAAATCGATTCAACGCTTACTAACTGATTTATCGCAGCCACTCATGATATTTATTACGTTGTTCAATGTCAACTTGCGTGAAATAGAGCAGAACTTCGACGTTTTTTCTTTTACAGATTATGCTTTCCCCTCGTTAACATCGAATGATATTTAGGTATGAACAATCATTAGGTATGAACAATTATTCTTTTCAACATTTATTATTATACTACGCTATATTTTATTATGTCTACATAGACATTTAAAAAAAAAATGGAGCGAAACTGCTTATGTGAAAGTTATTTAATTTTTTTTAATTATTGCTGCCACGAGATTTGATACTATAATGTAACAATAAATTAATAATCAAATTGCACAAATACATACTAATGAATGCACATTTCATTGCATTGAATATATTTATCCAAACTATAATTTTATACCATATAGTCCATATTTTCGATTATTGAAAATTTAATTCTTATTATCAATAGCGTAAAAAAATAATTGCTTGTGTGCATTAAGACCAAATGTACTGTTACAAAATTTCCGTGGCATGTGTCAACTACTGAAATCCTAACAGCCTTCAATTTACTTTCCCTTTAATTCTCTCCCATTTTTTAGGTTAAAGAAGAAAATTTCTGAGGCAAACGTTATGTTAACGAAAACGATTGTTTCAGGCATGGTGAGAGTTGGTACAATTTCCGGAGCAAGGTGCAACAGGTAATGCTGCAACCACGAACTGCAAGAATGTACATTAACGCTATCGAGGAGGCAAGTTTGGCATTTCTTAAAAGGTTCGTCGGTAAAGGATCATCTTGACGTTGCATGTGCACTATACCTTTTACTTTCCTCTGCTGTCCTGATTTGTCCCATTTCTATTCGTGTAGCTACAACTAATAAGTTATTTATTACAGAAAGTTTATGTAGTTTTCCTAATTTATAAGAGATGGCGCAAATCGTTGTTTTAGTGGTTTTATTTATTTGTATATACGAATATACTTAATTATTTATTATCCACGGTAACCGTGATTTCATGTGTTATTTTTTAAGAAATTTCAATTTTTGCATAGAAAAATCTGTGTTCTTTTATTATGATTTTCATCCTTAAATGTTTTCCAGATTATACGTGACATTACACATACAATAAAAGAGTAAAAAATAGTTTGATGGAAAATACAGAAATTATAACACACAGTAATCTACATGAACTTTTTGGAATACCTATGATGTGTACGATGTTGAGATAATTGTAGTGCTTTTTAGGATCGGGAAAATACGGGACAAAAATGATGAAGTACCTGACGATTTTATGAATGAGATTCATAAATGGTCATTGGAATGTAAGTAATAAATGATTTGTATTGGTGATGCAGTAATTCCGTAGCTCGTAAGAAAAAATCTGAATATATATTAGGTTACTTGGTCATGAAGAGTAAACTTGTAAAAATGATGTAAGATATGTATCTAATGTAACTGAAGTAAGCAGTATCCTTAGAGTAGCTAGGAACAGAGAAAATAGAATTTGGAAAAACTGAATGGAGGTTACAGATTAGATCAAGGACAGAAGTAATGACATCTACTTTTTTAAATCGCAGTTAAATCGGAACAAGAGATAAAATAGGAAAGGAAGATAAAAAAAAGGGAAATAAAAAATAAAAAGATATAAATGTAAAATAATAATTTTTTTTTACATATTTGAATATTTTAAGCGTTTTTGTGTTATATTTTATTGTTGTTTGTAGTCATATGTTGTTAGTAATTACATTTGAAAAAACAACTTGGGAAAAAGAAGATATGAATCTTAAATTATTGCTCGTATTGTTTTTTATAGTTTTCGTATATATTAGCTTTTAATATTATATTTATTATAATAGCATATTATATAATATTATAATAGTTTTTAACATTTCAAGAATAGTTTCTCTTACTTTTTATTATTAACAATAACGCTGTATTAATAATAATTGAATAGGCAAATATAATTGCATATATGTAAAACACCAAAACAAAATTGAATGTTTTAATTATTAGTTTTTTGTTTAAATGAATTTTAACATTAGCTAAATGGCTTTTTCGCAATTTTTATTTATAGCTATTGCACGTGTAGCATTGGATGTTCGACTAGGTTGCGTAGACGATGATGCTAACGTAGAGACTCAGCAATTAATCGACGCGGTCACTACGTTCTTCAAGAACGTGGGAGTGTTGGAGTTGAAAATCCCTTTCTGGAAATATTTCAATACGCCTACCTGGCTACAATATGTGAATGCTCTTGACACCATTGTAAGGTAAATTAACGTGAGATAGAATAATCATTATTTTAAAAAATTTATAAACTAATTAAAAATATACTAAACTAATAGATTATAAGAGTAAATAAAATAATCAAATTTAATGTGAATTGGAAATTATTTTTATTTTCAGCATAACGTCTAAATATACTACTATAGCTCTTTCAAGGATAAAGGAAATAGAAAAATCTGATAAGGAACCATCTCTTCTGGAAAGAGTTTTGGCTCTAGAAAAAGACACCAAGTTGGCTACGATACTCTCCCTTGATTTATTCTTAGTTGGTATTGACACAGTGAGTACTTCAATTACGATTATAATTTAGTAAAAAAAGGAAAATCACAGTTGCAGTTATAAAATAAATACTGTTTTTGCATTTTATTAATAAAATTACATAATTTGTTACATTTAAAAATCTTATTCTAAGACTTCCAGTGCCGTTGCATCAACATTGTATCAATTAGTTTTGAATCCTGACAAGCAAGATCTTGTTTACGATGAAATTTGCAGAGTGCTACCGACCAAAGACATGCAGCTCGAAGGGAAACACATAGATAAACTGAAGTACTTAAAGGCGTGTATCAAGGAAACTTTAAGGTTTGCACGTTAAGGCTCAATATTCTAAAATCATAATCTTAACATTAATTTAGTCTTCTAATTAATTTAGTTAGGTCAATTTGTCTAACAATATTCGAGTAAAAATCATTTTTTTACGTCTAAGTATTTTAATGTTTAGTTAGTGCCAAGAGGTTTATTTTTTCTTTATTTTTAAATAAAAAGAAAGAAATTTAATTACTTTTCAATATAAGAATTATAAATAATTTTTAAATTCAGATATAAATCATAAGTTGTAATTAGAATTAAATTACATACAATTTAAAAGTATTTATTATTATTAAGAAAAGTATTGCAGGTGTTTTTTTTCATAAATAGCATGTATTAACATTACATAATTGCTTTCACTAGGCTGTATCCGGTAGTTATCGGCAATGGACGATGCATGACCAAAGACACGATAATTAAAGGATATCGTGTACCAAAAGGCGTAAGAAACTTTTATTTAATAGCTATTTAATAATACGGTTGTCTAACAAATATATAGCATTACCGATTTCGTTATTGAAATTTAATCGTGTTTATTTTATTATAACTAAATAATCACTATTATAATTGTCAGTAAATATTTAATAATTTTATTACACTTGACTATTACGCTAGTGAATAATCATTTTTCATTATACTTATTATAATACGATGATAATAGATATTTATTATGATATATTATTATTACCATGTCGAAGTGATAATTATAAATATATGTACTATAACATAGTAAAAATTGTTTAACAGGTACAGGTGGTCTTTCAACATTATGTGATAAGTAATCTTGATAAGTATTTTCCACGCAGTAAAGAATTCCTTCCTGAAAGATGGTTACAAGATGATGGCGTGCACCACAGTTTCGCGTCGCTTCCATTCGGTTATGGAAGAAGAATGTGTCTTGGCCGACGTTTTGCTGAACTTGAAATGCTCGTTGTTATTGCCAAGGTAATTAATTTTCTGCGATAACCTGGTGTTTCAATTAATTCAGTAAAGATTTTCACTAAAAATACTGAAGTGAAAATTAATTTGCAGAAGCAAAAATCTCAACTTGTTAATGTGATCGATATTATAAAAGGATCGACATTTGTTTCTGCATATATTTCTGTTTATATTTTAATATTTTTTATATTTTATTATATATTATTTTTTTTATAATTTTATTTATCTTTCTTTAAACAAAACATTTTTTAAAGATTTTTAACTGATAATAGGATGACGAAAGTGGAAGCCTGACATTTTATACTTATTAACACAGATTTCATGTCTAGACCTTAATTATAATTCCCGTTAGTTTGTCACTCGTTGCAGTGAATGCTCATGGATAATAAGCACCTTTTTAGGGTATCACTAATTCGCCATACAGGTGTGTGGTAATTCGTACAGTTAGTACAGATAATAAGACGGAACTTGAATATAAGTTTCTTTTTTAAATTCGTTTTTTTTATTTCTATATTAGCCTATTTCTGTATTAGAATTTCTTTGATTAATAGATAAGTATCTATATTACTTAAAGTCCTATACGTGTATATGTGTAATTATTTATATAATAAGATGGTTTGGACAATATAAGGAAATGTTTTAAAAAGGCAGCTTTTTAAATGAGCTGTAATTAAGATTGTAATCCTCTCTTAAATAGAGCTAAAGAAATATTGGATAGAAATAGAGATAGAAAAACAGACCTAGATAATTTATTGAGGTTTATACATCTTATATATGTGAAAACAAAAAAGTTCTTATGTAGGGATTAAATAGTAATTATTTCACACATTATTTGAAATTTATGACTTCCAGTGTGAAAGTCATTCGGAGACATTTTATAGTAAATTATTTCAATACTTTATGGTCCTTATGGTCACTTTTATTATCTCCAATAGGATAAGTGCTCGCGGAGAAAGAGTAGTAATAAAAGAAAATTGCTTCTTTAACTGAAACGTTACAATAAACGTGGTTTTATGAATTCGGGATTTTCTTATATTTTTTGTCATATTTGCACATTTCTTTAATGGGAATTGAGAACAATTATTACAAAATTTTATCAGTTAGTTAATATGAAATATGAAAATCAAAATTTTTTAATTAAAATCAAATATAATAATTTATTTATGTATTTAATTATAAAAATATTATTACAATTTTTTGTTCCAGATTTTGCAACGTTACAAAGTAGAATATCATCGAGAAAGATTAGAGTATTACATCAGTCCTATGTACACACCTAAAGGATCTTTGAATTTAAAATTCATTGATAGGTAATTGTTTTAAGGTTCAGATACAGATATAAAACAAAGAACTTTTTGAAATCTTATTTTTGTTGTATTTATTTGAATAATTTAATAACTATCTTCGAAGCACTTTGAATTTGAGTTTCCCGTCGGGTGCATACATAAACGTAACTTTGTACTTCAGTGGTTCATAATGGTACTCTAGTTTGTAAGATCTTAACAGCTGAAAATGAATGTAATCAGTAATTTATACGCCTAATATTTCAAACGTAGACTGAGTTTAATAATTAATTAATATTTACGTAATAGTACAATATAATTAATTCCAAATTTTACTGTAATTTTAATCGTAATATTGACTATAGTCTTACATTTATTATACTATAGTCATTTTTTGCCAAAGCTCAAAATATTTGTAGTACGTACCTTAGCAAGTAACACTTGCATTTCCAAATCCGCAAATCTCCTACCTAGGCACATACGTGCACCATAACCATACGGTAACGAAGCAAACGGATGCAAGGTTTCGTTAGGAGATTCTTTGAGCCATCTCATTGGCTTAAATGTTTTTGCATCTGTTACGTATTCTTCCATATTTCCTGTTACTACAGTTGGAAATACGACTTGCACCTGTTACAAATAATAATATTTATATTTTTTATTAACAAAATTTGACCAAAATTATTGTAGTTAGAAATATGAATCATTCCGAGTTTTTTTATATCAAATATTAAAATTCATAAAACACAACGTATGTCAAAATAGAATTTTGTTATAATTAATTATAGATTATAATGTATAAACTCTAAAAATTCAGTGAGGAAAAAATAAATTGTTTTTGTGAAACAGTTATGACATTAATATGTCACAATAAAGTATACTGTAAGCGAACTGACATTACTTACCCCCTTTGGAACTTTGTATCCGCAAATTATAGTGTCACTTTGTAATGTTCTACCATTCCCAATTACTGTGGAATATACTCTGAAACAAATATAATATTTTAGTAAATAAACATTATAAACCTCTAACATTATACTTAATTATGCAATCTGCAATTTTGTAAAAAAATAGTTTAATTGTTTCAAAAATACTTGCTTATGTGCATTTGACTGACAAGATTATGATTATTTAATAAACTTATGAGCCTACATACATATATTAATTAATGAATTGATTAATTATACCTGAAAACTTCACGAATAAAGGCTTTCATGTAAATAGCTTTATCAAGATGACTCGTAGTAAGTGGTACACTTGAATCAGGAAGAATTTCTACAAGTTCCTGATAAATTTTTTCTTGTTCTTCCGGTCTAGTAGCTAGTTGGTATAATATCGAACAAACAGCCATAGATATCTGTAACATAAAATAGATATTTCATGAATTAATTGATTTGTAATTAAACAAATTCTATAATGTAATATAAAAGAAAATATTTCTTTCTTTACTTACTGTGTCTATTCCAACTAAAATCAAATCTAAAGCAAGTATGTAAGCCATTTTAGGATCAGTTTCATTGGCTAAAATTCTTTCCACTAAGGACAAATCAAACTCATCTACAGCTTTTTTCGTTTTCAGTCTCTCCATCGCTGCGTCGATGTATTTCATACATACCCTGAATGCAAAAACAAGAAATTTATGTAAAAATGAATTATAGAATGTTAAAAAATAATAATAATAATAACGTATAAAATTAATTTTAGATTATTAGAAAGTAGTATTAAATTACCAAAAAATTTTTAAGACATTCGTTCCAATTTAAATTAAAAAATTAAGCTTACTCGATGAAGTAATCCATGTTACGCACGTATTTTGACCAGAGTGGAGTAGGCACGTATCTCCAGTAAGGAGCTTTTAATTCAAGTACAGCTACATTTCTTAAAGCAAATTTTGCTGCGTCGATGATTTTCTGTGGTTCTGAATCTGGCATTAGATCACCTGCTAAACAGCCTAATCTCACATCTAGTGCAACTCGACCTATACCTGTAAATTAAGCAAAATATCGTTAATATTAAAACTGCTACCTAACACCTTGAAAAGCTAAGAAGAAATACTAGTGCTCGTAACTAGGAATTGCGATTTATACTAACATTCTAGAGCCCATTTATGTATTTCGTTGTCAAAATCTCCTGGAAGTTCTCCATCTTCTCTTTTAATTTCTTGAATTCTAAAAACAATGATCAAAACAATAATATATTTTAAATATTATGATATATCTAAGTATGCACATGTATACGAGATAAAATTGCAAAAGAAAAAATATTGTACGAAGTAGTAATTTAATTGGAATTCAATTGAATCGTAGATGCAAAATTAATATAGCAATCTATCTTCTTATGATTTCCTTTTTTCTTTTTTTCGTACGTAAAACGATGTGTTTACAAACTTGTTAGAAAGAATAATCTTTTTTTTTTACTAAAGCGATCTTTTTCATGGAAATTAATTTCTTTTTAATATTTCGAATATTTTTATTTTTATTTAAATTCTATTACTTTATTTACATTTACCTGTATCAAATAAAATGAAAAACTTCAGATGGAAACAAAATTCATTCAAAAATTCAAAATTTTCTAGGGAAATTAAAATAAACGTAAAATACAAAATCATGGTTGATCACCTTTGTATAAAGTCAGATGTGACCATCTCTATAGGTGAAATGTATTTCCTCACTGTCTGTGGTTGGAGGATAGGCTTCTGAACTCTCGTACGAAATTCTCGCCAGGGCTCCCCGTGCCTGAGAAGTGTAAATATTTTATTATATTACTTATAATGTACGAGTTGTTTCGTTCCTTTCATTTGTCGAGTTATGAGTGGTTTCAAGGTCAAGGAAGACCATGTGTGGTTAACGAAAGGTCGACTTGGAATATGCTTCAAAGCATATTGACATTGGGATGACAATGTTTGTATAGTCTCACTAAACGATCGTAATAGTGCTAATGCACACTTTAAAATGCATAGAAAATGTTCCTTTATTTCATACACTTCCAAGTTCTAAAACGTGAAAATAAATAAAAATGAGATTAAACGCATGTGACTATTTTTGAATTGTGATTTGAAATATTTTGTTTTTGGCTTTTGTGAAACAAATCAATATTCAAATCGATATGACTAGATTAAAAGAAATTCAATTATATGATTATCATTTATCTTATTATTCAAGTGTGAATAAACATGAGAAAAAAATTGCTATAGTGAATTCCTATTATTCGAAATATTTTGTAATTCAAGTATATATATTTGGTGATATATTCAAATAAACAGAACTCTGCTGTACCATCATAATAGTCACACCCTATATATCATATCTACGTACACTCCAACGACACCTGGTAGAGCTCCAAAAAAGTCCTTCCTCACAACGCTTTTATAATGCACCAAACACGGCATTGACGGTCTGAACGGCGTCGGTCCTTCCTGTCTATATATTTTTTCGATCTCGGCGGCATCATAAACGAACAATAAATCTGGCCGACCTATTAAGCCAGTCAAACGAACAATTTTTCCATATTCATCGTAGAATATTTGTGACAACTTCGCTACATCTGATATTTGGTATTGGCCGATCATCGGAAACAGACGCCAAGTATTTCCTAAAACTGGAACTGGCTTCGGACCTGGTATAGTTTCGTAGGATTTTGCCTGAGCAGTTGCATCGTAATTGACCACGCAGTCTCTTGTTGACGTCACTGTACCTGTATGAATATAACAGTGGACGATGAAAAGTGTAGCTGAATGCAGTTTGAATTCGAAACGAAGATAGGTTACAGCGATAGCCTAATTAGAAGTTGTTTATCTTATAAAAATATCAAATCAGTTATACTTTAATGAAAATAGCGAAAATTTTGCAGAATATAAATACATTTAAAAATATTATTGCATTTTGAAATGTCGAAATATTTTTCCAGAATTACAAATCTTTTAATATAATATTAAATTTTCGGGTATTATATCCGGCGAACAAGGTTTCGAATTCTTTCATTAAACCGGTAACTTTTGAAAGTAACCTATACGTGACCTTGATTATGGCCTTCACACAACATCACCTTTTCTTCAGAATAATTATTAGTTTAAAAAAAGATATGACATCCCATTCGCCCACTCAAAAAGATGGGAGAATGTCATTTGAAATGCGAATAATTATATCTGAAGTAAAAATATTCTGACATTGACACAAAACAATCGTTATAAAAAATTTTTTTTTATTTAACGCGTAAGAAGCAAATAACGTGACATGATTATAGAATTACACTCTATGCATTATATTCTATGCTAAACACTTCTCGATACAGATGAGATGATAATGATATTCAAATAAATGTAAGAAAGTGAACATTTGTTATTTTATGTTCTTACTTGAGTACAAAATTCTTCGAAGGTCATTCCAAGTTTGTGAAAGTCGACACAAAGTGATTAATGATTGACGATGCATTCTATTAATTACAAAAAAATACAATTAATAATTCAATAATTATAAATAAGCAATTTGTAAACAATACATTATTATATATTTTTATGACTAAGATAAAGAAAAAATTATTATACGTGATTATTATTTTGAAAAATAAATTTGTTTGTGATTAATCAGTATCATTTTCTCTTTTCTTTCTTGCTCATTAAAAAGAATAAATTTCTTCACCAGTCACTTCACGATAGGGGAAATCCGCTTTCACTCTTACATATTACAATTCCAGCTTACCCTTTTTGTAATTACAATACAGTAAGCCTATAATAATCCTTTACAATTATTGAATAACTATAATTATTTCAAATTCTTTCGTTTGTACAATTATAAAAATAATCAAGTATTTTTAAATATTTTAAATACTAAAAATAGATAATAATTATAAATTCTTTCGAAAATGCAAATTTCACCTTTCCTTTTATGACTCAATTCAATTTTGCGTCAAAGCTGAAATCTGCTTGAACCTAATTAATTTCATCTATTTGTCACATTTCATCCTGACCTTTAAAATTTTCAAATTGAAAATTTTATATTTAACTGTCATTAACTTGAATGCAAAATAAAACAAAAATTTACCAATTCCCTCCCTCTTTCTGTTCACATTCATATTCAAAATCGTTTAAAAAATAAAATAAAACCACAAAAATATTTTGACTATCTTGTGACATACACATTTGTCACATTTAACTTCATTTCACCCTATATACAGTGTCACAAAGCACAGGTATATCTAATACGGAAAATAATTCTTTTCTATCAATGGTTGCTATTATATCTATAATAATTATTACCTGGAACTGATTATAAATACCTTTTGTCTTTCTTCTACCTCGATTATCCCGTTACTATGCGAGGTAGTCACTTCACTGTAACACTAACAAATCACATTTGATCGTGTTGTCATTTTATATTATTTTCAATAACGTAGAGAAGTTATTATTATAAAGTCTTTAACACGTTACTTGAACAAGAAATAATTGCTTCTTTTGCACCCGGTAGGACGTCACAGATACATCACGAAGTGGAATGTTTGAAATACTCTTCATAAAATGAGACCACAGTATCTAACCTAAGTGAACTCCCCACTTTGAAATCTCCCTCCATTGGTTAACGGTTCGAATTCGCTGTACTTTAGAGGCACCACTGTTATGTTCGAAGAGAGTGCCCTGAATGTCGTCACTTTCGTATTTAATTCGTGTAAGGATCGGAGAAAGGCAAGATGAACGTCGAAAAATTATGTAGAACAACACCGACTTTCTTCCACTGGTTTGTATTTTGCAAGTTTCATATTACATGGAAATTTCTATGTTCTGTATAGGAATAAAGTTGATCTGCCATTTAATAACTAATTATCTTTTTTAAATTAATTAATTATTTCTGTTGCGAAAATTAATCATTTCATTTTGAGATGCTTCGAAAGCTTTTAAGGTACTAATTTGTATAACTAACTCTTTCCTATTTTTCACTGTGTACACCTAGTAATATTACATATTTTTGAAAATACCTTTATATATGTTAAATATATATTGCACGATATTTAAATTATGAAGATTAAACGTGACCTATTTAATTTGCATAAAATTAATTGGATTTTTGCCATTTTTAATTTTCAAGTTGTAGATGAATAGGAGACTAATTTGTCATATAAAATGTAGAAGATGATATATGGAAGCTCATTAGAATAATACCTAATAATATTCTTATAACATTTCTTAGTTTGACTGAAAGCAACAAAGATACAATAATTAATATAAATAGTATAAAATATATACAATATATGATTCTTTTTTTATTTTGTATGAAATGTACATAAAATATAAGACAGTATAATATAAAACTATATATTAATAATATCTGTATTTATATGTTCTAGGAAAAAAGATATGAAAAAACATACTGGTGGAAAGCAGTATAATTTTTAAGTACTTGAACATTAGAATATGTATACGTTTATGATGGTATCTATTGATTAAAATCATTAAGACTCTCTATTCTTAGAGAACCAATCTAGGTAATTGGTTAATTCGGTCAATAACTCTTTACATACGTAATTATCAATTAGCCTCTAAGTATTGTGAACTTTCCAACTGGTTTTACTTATTATCACTTTTAGCTGCTATTTTAAATCACATATTACATAAGCGCGTAGGTATATCTGCATATATGCAAATGTATGTAAACATTCTTTTAACGAAGACAAATATGGTAATTACGCGAATGGAAAGTATTGTTAATAATAGAAAACCTTAGATAAGGTAGAAAGCTTAGTTCAGTAATTTTATGAAAATTTATCTAAAAACGAAATGAAATATCGATAAAAATTTACGGAATTATCATAATACGGAAACATTATTTAAATTTAATAAAAAATAGAAAGCAAAAAAGACAAAAGCAACAATTTTTTAAAAGTAAAAGAAATTATTTAGTTACATAAATATTTCATTTTAGTATTTAAGGTTAAATAATTTCCGGAGATATATCATATGATATGAAAAAAATGATTAGTTTAAGAATATATTTAATATTTAATTTTAATATTAATAATTCTTAAAAATAAAACTTAACTAAAACTTATAATAAATAAAACTTAAACTTAATATGCCCCTTTATAATGCAACCAGTTGTACAGTGCTTATACCTTCCGTGTAATAGACAAGGATAGAAGTTCAAGTCATACGGTAACTATCATTTATGATTTTTGTCTCGGACATCAGGTTAGATAGAAGGAACACAGAATGAGCAAGGAGGTATCGTAAAGATGGCGTCAATGGTGCCACCTGAATTTTCATTCCACAGTAGAAAATTAACAAATTACAAAAATCCAGTAATTAATTTATCAACTTTTATAAATACATCGTAAAGCTAGAACTTTATGCAATATTCCTCAATAACTTTCATAAACAATTTAACGCTAATTAGTTAGTAATTAATAATTGATTGCTGACTGACAATGATTTCGTAACGATGACCATCACGATCTTCCGTAAAAATATTTAATACTAAACGAAACTAGACGCAAAATGTGATCAAAAATTATATGGGAAGATTCGCAAGAACATTGTCTTTATAATGCGTGCATAAAGCTTCATAAATTAATTGCAAAGAGAATAGTAATTAATGAAAAACTATTACTATGTCCGGCAAAAATTCAAACACTTCGTAGAATAAGCATTAATAATTAATTAATTAGGGACAAATTTATATCAAAAAATATATTGCAACGTTCTTGAAGGATTTGTATTTACGATGCAATTATAAAAGTTCAGAAATTAATCACAGATATTGAGTAATTAGCGAATTTTCCACTGCCGATTTGATTTATTAAAATATATTCGGAGCACGTAACCAGAGTTAGTAAACTAACATCAGAGCCATCTATGATTTTAGACTCGAAGCTCGGATTAGGTAGACGCCTAAATCTACGTGACGTGGTGGACAAAATAAATAAACAATAAAAGAACATAAATAACTAACGCACATTCTCTTTTCCTCCTTTTATTCACTTTAGAATCCGATAAAATTTTCTACATTCTTCAATAAATTCAACTCAAACAGTGGTTTTAATTAGACAATCAGCATTCATTTCTTTACCTGGCAGACGACAAATATACAAAGGTACGTCTTTACAACGCAATTATAAAAGTTCATAAATTAATCACAGAAATTAAGTGTTTTGTTAATTTTTCTCCAAGTGAACAGAAGACTGCATAGGAAATGAAAGAAAATTGCAAGCAAACGCTGGAAGCATTGTTGTGTCCATGCAGGTGTGCTGCATCATATAAAAGAATGTAAGTCTTTGTAATTAAATAGTGCAAATTATGAGCCATTGTTTTTCCACCATTTATTAGTGATAGCAGAGCTTGATTGTGAAAAGACAATATTCTGTTGAAATAAACCGGCACATGCAACAGTAGAAAAATATTGGATTCATGGAATATCACCAGCATAGAGCCATTAGATACCAAGAATTATATTTTATAACGAGAAAGAATTGAAGCAGCAATACAAATATGATATGATATGTCTATTGGATTCTAGGTTGGCTAACAATATAACATAAAAGATAGAAATCTTTGATGGTCAAATAAAGATTTAGAAAATGGAGATGACTTAGGCAGACAAAAAGGAATGAAATTAATTTAGGTGGTGGCCCCTTGTAACAACTAATTATAGACAATACAGTGAGATTGCAAGGTATGTTATATTGCTTATCTAAATAAATATTAATATCTGTGGTCAAAGTCAATGATCATCGCTAATGTGTTATGTTTCAGAATTATGGAGTTAAGGTAGATAAAGAAAAGAGAATCGCTGGAAAGAAAGCAGTGAAAAGGGGAACGACATATTATGTCGAATTAAGAAACAGGAAAGGGGCAGCATATGTATCACAGAGAAGGATGTGTGGCATGGACATGCAAATATAAGGATCAAGAAATAGAGAATGGACACTTGGTAATAGTTATAAAAGTTAAAGATAAATTGAATATAGAGTGTAATTGTTGCATTAAGGCACAAATGTGTAGATGCATCTATAGGAACTTGGAAACTATAAAAGGAGCAGGAATACTGGGGCTGTGGCACATAGAATTTATTGGGCCAATAAAGTCAACATTAAAAGGAGGAAGAAGGTACGTCTTACCTGCTGATGATTATTTGAGAAAAGAACCATTTGGTTGACTGATTTATAAATGACTAAAGATTTAATATGAAATATTATTAATGAAGGATTTTTTTTGTTATAGGAGACTTACACAGATGAGTAATATTTATATGCAAGAGCCAACCACTAAGGGTAAAGTAATAAGTATCATTTAATAATACTTCAATGGGTTCTATATCTGTTTTTAAAAATTTAACAGATATACAATATTTACTTTCTAAATTTTTATACTAATATAGTAAGTAATTTCTAATTTGAATTACAATAATAAATAATAAATTTTAATAAATTTGACTTTAAAAGTATTTTACATTAATAAAACTATTATATTTGTTATAACTAGGAAATGAAATGAATTCTTTTTTTATTAAAAAATAATTATTGGATATATATGTTTTAGGAGGAATTTCGTACGAGATTACGTTTTTGTCGACGAGATTTAATTGCTATGGCTAATGCTGGAAAAGATGACAATAGTTCCCAATTCTTCCTTACCCTTAGTTCTACACCAGATTTGCAGAATAAACATAAAATCTTTGGTAAATTTACTAGAGAGACTATATATAACATGCTTAAACTTGAAGAAGCACTTGTAGACGAGGTAAATTTAATGTTTACAAAAAAATATATCAAGAATTAATATAAATATAATATTTCCTCTTTTTTGTAGAATGATAGACCAGTTTATCCTCCGAGATTGATAAAAATTATAATATTGAACAAGCCATTTTCTGATATTCCACCAAGGATAATAATACAGGAAAGTGAAGAAGTAAAGGACAGTTCAAAAACTGAAGCAGCAGCAGTAAAGTAAAAATCATATATGTTTGCAGAATTTAACCCTGATAGTATTATTCTTTACAATGAAAAATTTTGTTACAGAGATTTCAATCTTTTCAATCATTTAGTGAAGAAGCAGAGGAAGATGAAGAAGAATCTACGATATTAAATAAAAAGTTTAGTAGTAAAAACAAATCAGCTTATGGCCATTTGTCTGATCCAAAATTATGCTCCTAACCAGCTGGACCTCCAAATTAAAAAAGGAAACAAGACCGTATTAGCGATTGGGAATTATTGGAGAATAATTGGGAAATTAACAAATTATGCAATTTTTGCGATTAATGTATGGACTTTTATAGTTGTATCGCATAGCTGGCTCCTTGCGCAACATTCTTATGCAATTTATGCACATAATTTGACACTAATTAGTTTGTTATTATTACTTGACGACGTATGGCGCGATGGTCCGACAAAATAATTAATTATGAACAAAATTAGAAGTAAAATAAGAACAAAAATGACATGAGAATGTTCATAAGGATATTGTTTTTATAATCCGTGCATATAATT